TGTGTTTTATTCGTTATCGGTTTCGATGTCGTCATTTGTCGGGTCGTGCGGTGGGGCGGGTTTTAAATCTTTAACGTGGACGTGCCTGTGCCATCGGCCGTTATGGTCTCGCAGGTCGATGACAACAGGTGACACCACGCGCTTCACCTCGAGCGGTCCTTTAAACTTCGGAGCTAGCTTCGCGTTAAATGCCGCGGTTTTATTTGACAGCGGGTATTCGCGTTTGTATACTTTATCGCCGATTTTCGGCTTCCATGGCCTCCGCCTTAAATCGTAATATTTTTGCTGTCTCTGGAAAGCCTGTGCCAAGTTTATTCGTACTAGTTCGTACGCCTCCTCGAGGTGTCGGCGGGTGGTGTTGGGCGGCGCCCTGGCGCACGTTATTCGCATTCACAGGTGACAGTAATTCGCGGCCGAGATTTAGGTATGCCGGTGTATATCCTGTAGCGTCGTGTCGGGCGGTGTTAAACGAGAACGTAGTTCCGGCAGGTGTTCGTCCCAGTTTTTATGGTTGCGATCCACGTACTGCGCGATCATCGTTTTGACGGTGCGATTCGTTCGTTCGACCGGGTTGCACTGTGGTGCATACGCTGGCGCATACGTATGATTTATCGCGAAGGCGCGTAATAATTTCGCTAGTTCTCGTGATTTGAACTCCGTGCCGTTGTCGGAGATTATAGTCTCCGGGCATCCATGGCGAAGTATGACACTTTCGGAAAGCGCCTGCGTTACGGCGGGGGCGGTTGCGCGGCGGAGCGGCCGGAGTTCCACCCATTTCGAGAACCTGTCCTGCATATTTAATAACCACGCGTGTCCCTTCTTGGAGCGCGGGAAGGGTTCTACGAGATCTATCGTGCCGTGTTGCCACGGGCGAGTCGTAGGGATCGTGTGCAGCATACCTGCAGGTTTCGTTTGCAGGACCTTGTATTGTTGACATTTTTGGCAACTGCGTACGTACACAGTATAAGTATAACCAGTAGCGGCACTTCGTGTCGGTCCCTTTGATGTTGGTGTCCGAAATCACGTGTCATGTCACCATATTCTTGATAGTAGTAACGCGCAAACATTTAAATTTGTGAAAAAGAGCAGCAATATAACGAAATGTTTTAATATCATATAAATAACTGCAATTCATATCTTATTAATTAAATATTAATTATGATCCAAAATTAACTGTCAGTGCTGAAAATCCATAGTGCATGTAACGTAAACCATAGATTTTCAGCGCTGTAAATGAATTTTAGAACACAGCCATTATAAATTTGCAAATGAAATAAAATAAAAAATATAGTTATACAAAAATAAAAAATAAATTATTCAATAATAAAAAAATAGTAATGATATTAAATACAATATTATATTTATAATAAACGACTGACATTTATCATTTTTATTTTATTTATTAGAAACTGATGTACAATTTCGATTAATTATTAATCGATTAATTATAAATATGTATATGTCAATTTAATATACAATTTTGAATAATTACAACATGTATAATGTGTCAATTTAATATACAATTTCGATTGATGACATGTATCTATAATGCGTCAATATATTGTGCCAATTAATTTTTTGATCAATGATTAAAATTTTCTCATTATTCTATTTAAAAATTAAAATAATTTATTTAATAAATATATTATATATTAATGTATTATTTGAAACATCTAACTTTGATCGATTTGGCATTCTCATCTTTGACATATTAAATATTTTGGCAGGAATTCAGTCATCTGAAAAAAGAATTATTAGACAAAATATATTTTATTGGCATTTTTTATAAAAATTATTTTTTGTTTGAAGTAACAATACGAAAAGTATTAATTTTTAAAATACTTTTTATTTTAAACATATGTACTCATAATTATGAAAGTGGGTATGTCTAATTGTAAGTAAAAAGTCTTAAAAATACCCATAAATTATTATAATTACGTGGGATGTAATAAAAAAATATAAATACTAAGAATAAAGACATTACTTTATTTATTTATTATAAAAATAACAAAAATAAAAATTTTATCTCTGTTTTTCGTAAAATACAGTATATGAAATATTAACAAATAATTATTCATATCACATCTATTATTACTCTTTTTTGGCCGTTTCATTATTTTTTAATGTTACTTGCAAGAAAAGAGCCAACATATGTATATATACTTTTTTAATTTAATTATTAATTATGATTAAAAAATAACGAAAACATATAAACATAGAATGCAGAAAACATATAAATAAAGAAAATTAAATCCATATCCATCCACTTGATAAATTAGTTATGACTCAATATTATAACTTTTTTATTTCTTTCTTTACCTTTAAATCGCCTGTTTGCAAATTTTAATTCGAAGTAAAGACGAACTCTTGCGTACAATTTTATAAAATATGTTTTTGGAAAATCTTTGCGTGAGGACAGACAGCAGTGTTTAAAAGAGTTATTGTAGAAACAAGAACGGATTCATTCAAAATAAACGTACGTGAATGATTAAAAAAATATTATCTAAAATTTTCAACGTAGGTTACAAATATTTGATTTGGAACACATAATCCGCCATACATATTGTCTTCAGTAGATTTTGTTGCTCTAAATAATGTATAATATCTATTATAATTAAAATTGTCAATATCTTTGGCAAAATTCTCGCATATATCACAGGAATGTTTCTTCAAACTCTTTGACATAAGGTAACCACAAATATAATAAAATGCATTTTCCTCAATTACGTCTTTTTTTTGTCGATAATCATGGTCATCAATTTGAATAGGTACTGTTTTTTGCAGTGATGTATTTTGTACAAAAGTTTCGTGTTGAAATTGTGTTATTTTAGTCACCATATCTATTTCTGAATCCTCAACATCTAAAGTACAATTTCCTGTCTGAACCGAACAATGCTTGGTAGCAAATGATTTTTTAAAAGAGTAATAAAATTGTACTGGAGTTGGATTGAATGAATTACCTGATAAATTTCTAATCTCTCCGAATGTATGTTCAACTATATCTTGATTGATACGTCTCGTTAATAAAAATTGAAATCCTGAATTAATTTCCTGTAAATATTCCCACATTTGATTTAAGCTATTTATATTTTGAATCCAGCATTTGAATACATTAACTTTTTTTGTAATATCTATGCCATTCTTTGTAAAAATTTTAAGACTGCAGAAGTATGTTTTTAATGATTTTAAAAATTCTAATTGCTCTTCTGAGGCTATAAATGCATTTTTACTTGACTTCTTTCCTTTAATACATGATGAATTAAAAATATCAAACGCGGCATCTAATTTTTCAACATATTCTGATGTATCTTTAGCAGATGTCGGCAAATATCCAAGTGAAATCATAGTATTAATAGCAGAAGCTACAGAAAAACTTAAAACTTGAGCAGCATATTTTACTTTCATTCGTTGAAAATTATTGGGATAAATGTGTGTATCGTGAGCTATTTTAGGAACTAATCTATTATGTTTTCTTTATCTATTTCATATAATTTCTTTATGTGCTGCCATGAGATAATTTTATTTTCTGATTTAATAATATTATTTAATAAATTATTTCTAGCTACTTTTATAAGGTGTGGTGGATCAAAAAAGTAAAATATTTTTTGGCTATTTACAATATAATAAGGAGTTTCTTGAGTCACACCTAATTTTTTAAATGCTTTTACATAATCTGTTCCCATATCTGTCACTTCAGCAACAACTTTTAAATTTATGCTTTGAAGTCTTTTAACACATTCAATAGTAATTGTTCGTAATTCATCAGCATCTATAGTTGAATTAAGAAAAAAATAATCAAGTGGTTGTTTAAATTTATTTGTCAAACCTCTGACCATGATTATCGCTGCATTACATGCAGGTAAAAAACTTTTAGTATAACCTGTATCGTGAAATCCAATCACCATATCTCTGTTAATAATATAAAATAAACTTGCTTTTAATGACATTGTATCAATGGAAATGCAACAATATTTATCTAGCAGACGTAAATTTTCAGTTTTAATCCGAAGTCTTTCAAATATAATATCATTTATACCAGGGGAAATTATAAGTCCGTGTATCATGCGTTCAAGTGTTCTCTTCGATGGTAAAATAAAAGTGTTACTTAAAATTCTATAAGCTTTGGGTCCTTTAAAATATAAATTCAAACAAAACATTTTATATTCTTTAGTATATCTATTACCATTTCTTTTTTTGTCGAGATTATTTCCTTGAGCTTTCATGAAATCAGCTATCGGTTTTGGATGAAATTTATAAAGAAGTTTTTGGAAATCGTCAAAAGTAATATTATCTATATTTTTTTCATTGTTATATTTTAGTTTTGTGCGTTTTGCTCTTTTATCTGCAGCTTCACATTTTCTTCTGAGAGCTTCTTTTCTTGGAGTAGAACTGGATAATTTTAATTCGGTTTGAGTTGATTTATCATCTTTAGAATTCGTTAAATTAAAATCTTTAGTTGAACCTATGCTTAAATCAACATCTAAAATGAAAAGTAAACATTGAAAAATCTTTAAAATAGATCAAATAAAACCCAAAATTAACAAACTTCTTTGTTAAAAAATATTTTACCTATCAAATTGGTTGTTGAACAACTGGCTTTAACACTGTATACATCTGCTTGTAAATTTGTTGTAAAACATGAAGTGTCTGCTGTTGAAATGTCTACTAAAATAAGTTTTTATAAATAATTTAATAAATAATTCAAATATAAATAAGATAAAGGGCAACAAGCCTAAAATAAATACAATGAACATTCGATATAAAATTTAAGCCATATTGTTTAGGATTGGAGCGTTAATTCGTGCGGTCGTCGAGATCGCTCGAGAAACTTCATCGCTTCGAATCGTTGTTGATTCGACTTTCAAGCAATGTCGACGTCGAGAGCGAGTGTTTGTGTGCCGATGACGACGGGAGTCTTTCGACACAGAAAAAAGGCTCTCGTCGTACTTGGTGTGTTGCCCTCTGATTCGTCGCTCGTTGCTGGGCCGATGTTATCGGCGAAATGGCTTTAACACTGTATACATCTGCTTGTAAATTTGTTGTAAAACATGAAGTGTCTGCTGTTGAAATGTCTACTAAAATAAGTTTTTATAAATAATTTAATAAATAATTCAAATATAAATAAGATAAAGGGCAACAAGCCTAAAATAAATACAATGAACATTCGATACAAAATTTAAGCCATATTATAGATTTATTTTATTATTTAATAAATAATAATAATAACGTCGAATAATTTAAAAAATATCTATATGTAACACATATTCAAAATATATAATATTCAATTATGAAAGAAAATTAATTATTATTGATTACTCACTCTGATCAGTTGTTACATCATTGGTAATATTAAGAACTGAACTTGGAACTGCATGTGGTTGAAGTCGATTTTTTAAATCATTTAAAAACATATGAGGAGCAAAATGTTTTGAACAAACTCTGTAATTATTATACAGTCTTTTTTGTGGAACATTTTCCTTTATATCACATGCTTGTAACCACAATTTTGCTCTAAAACATATATTATTGTAATTTTAAAAATTATTCAGTGTTTACACACACAGATACACATCCACACACACACACACACACACATATACATTACATACGTATCAAAAATTATCAAAAAATTATTACCTTTCTAAATCAGATGGAAAACGAAAAAAGCTTAGATGACAATCTGCTCCGGAATTACTGTTACAGTCACGCATTGCACACATAAAACCACCAACAATTACACGTTCCATTATATATATTTTTAAATATAATACTTTCAAAGCTAAAATATCAAGAGTAACTTTCAATAGCAGACAATCATCGATTAAAGTTAATCGGAGTTGGTTCTAATTGTATTACCTATCTGGAAAGGTTATGCATAACCTCGTGTCAGCTGTATTTACTGTTCAATTGACGCCATGTTGTCGGTAGTAATGCAGCGCATGCGCAGTAAAATTTCTCCGACGCTAATTTCTACGGAGTGCCGCTACTGGTTATACTTATACTGTGGTACGTATGTCGCGATGTCGCGGGCCATGCCGGGCCAGTAGTAAACCCCCATGATGCGTGCCATGGTCTTCGCGATTCCCAGATGCCCGGCCGTTACCTCGTCGTGATTCGCCCTTATGATTTCGACGCGGCGGTCTTTGGGAGCGCATTGCTTCCATTGTCGTTCTGGCGGGGTTTCTTTGAAATCGAGGTCGTGTAGTATGTGCCGGTAAAGCTTTCCGTCGTTTATCTCGTAATCCGGGTACTGGCGGGGGTTTTCGGTTACGGCCTGGAAGGTCCTCTGATACCAGGGGCATCGTGGGGCCTCTGTCGCGGTTGCCGTAATTGGTTGACGGGAGAGGGCGTCGGCTACTCGATTCAGCGTTCCCTTTCGGTATTTGATGTCTAGGTCGTATTGCTGGAGCTCGAATGCCCAGCGTCCGAAACGGCTGGTGGGGGATTCTAACTTTTGCAGCCATCTTAGGGATTGATGGTCCGTGATGACCGTGAAGGGGTACCCTTCTAGGTAGTCCCTCATGCGGCGGATCCCCCATATGACGGCGAGGCATTCGAGCTCGGTGGCGCTATAATTTCGCTCGGCCTGGTTTAGCGTACGGCTGGCGTACGCGATTATGCGCTCGCCTTCCGAGAAATTTTGCGTTAAAACGGCTCCTAGCCCTGTATTGCTCGCGTCGGTTTGTAGTACAAAGCGCCGTGTAAAATCAGGACATGCGAGTACCGGAGCGGTTGTCAAGATGGTTTTTAGCTTATGGTACGCGGCTTCTTCGTCGGGTCCCCATTTCGATCGAGCGTTTTTCCGAGTTAGTGCGATGAGAGGTGCGGCCAAGGTAGCGAAGTCCTGTATAAACCGGCGGTACCACGAAGCAATGCCCAGAAATTGCCGAATCTGCTTCACCGTTCGCGGCACCGGCCAGTCGACGATCGCCTTGACCTTTTCAGAATCGGTTCGTATTCCTTCTTTGTCGACGATGTGTCCGAGGTATTTGAGCCGGTCGACGCAGAACCGACATTTATCGGGGTTAATTTTCAGGTTCGCGTTCCGGAGCCGTCGGAAAACCTCCCGGAGCGTGCTTAAGTGCTCCTCGAATGTGCGATTAATAATAATTATGTCGTCGAGGTAGACGAATACGTGCGGTTCTAGTTCCGGCCCTAGTACGTTGTCCAGCAATCGTTGAAAGGTCGCCGGCGCTGAGTGTAGACCGAACGGCATCACCTTGAATTGGTAGAGACCCTTCCCCGGTATTGTGAACGCTGTGACGGGTTTGCTGTCGATTGTGAGCGGTATTTGTTAGTACCCGCTCTTTAGATCGAGAGTCGTTAGATATCGCGCCCCCCTTAATTTGTCCAGGGTGACCGTAATTTGCGGCAGCGGGTACGCGTCCAGTTCGGTTACTTTGTTAATGAGTCGGAAGTCTATGCAAAATCGGTTTTGGCCGTTTTTCTTTTTGGCGACCACGACTGGGGAGCTCCAGGGGCTTTTCGCGGGCTCGATGACGCCCTCGCGCAACATCACTTCGACTTCGTCATCTATAATGGCCTGCATGGCCGGATTTCGGGGTCGATATCGTTGCTTTATTGGTCGGGTCCTCGGTTTGACGTGAATATGATACTGCGCGAGGCGCGTGGGGCCCTGTACGGCGTCGAATTGCGGCAGTTCAGTCCAAAAAAATTTTCCAGGCGACGGCGTTCGCTCTCGCTTCCTGTCGCGAGTCCCTCCGTTACGGCGGTCGTAGCGGTACTGGTCTGGTGGTGGAGGGACCCGGGGGGGGGAGGATTACGAACCCGATCTTGGCCCAGAGATCGACGCCGATCAGGGCGGTGTTCGTTAACGTCGGTATAATGCGGAAAGTGTGCGACCGGCAATCACGACGGGCAGGTTGACGCGACCGGGCAGTGGGGTGATCTGGCCGTCCGCGAATTGCACTTCCCCTACCTCGGCTACGATGGGGAAATTCATGTGTGCTATCTCGCGTGCAGTGGTCCCGTTGATAAATGAGATTTCGGATCCGGTGTCTAGAAGGGCCTCGATTCTTAATTCACTGATGCGTATCTCTAAGTGCGGTTGAGGCGTAAACCTTAATTCGGCGGCCGGGGGGTGACCGTGACTTCCCCGGTCGGCGGCTCGTTTCCCGGTAGCGGATGGCAGTTGCGGGTGAGCACGCCGTCTTTGCCGCATTGTGAACAGAACTTTTTCGGTGGTCGTCTGCAGTCGAATCGCGTGTGCCCCCTTTGCTTGCACCGCCAGCAACATTCGTCGCGATTATATACGGCGGCGGCAACCTGTATTTCGCGTGCGTCGTCCTTAATTTTTCCCTCGGCTTTTTCGAGGGTGGTAAGACGCTCGCACGTGGCAGCCTCGCGACTTAATTCTTGGATTGAACGTACATCGTACCGCCTAATACGCCATTGGTACAAGAAGTGCATATTGCGATATAGGTACTCTAATTGGCGTTGTTCGGTTGTGATTCCGGCACGGATCATGAGGGCTATGAGCGCGGTAGAGTATTTGAAGAACGTTTCCCCGGGTTTTTGTTTCCGAGCGTGCACGTTTTCCAATAACTGGAAGTCATCGGCGTGCGGCAAGAACGCGGCTTTGAAGCTCTCTACGAAGTCGTCCCAGTGTACCCAAAGGCGGCGATTTACTCGGCACCAAGTCTGCGTGTCCCCTTTTAATAAAACCGGTAGCCCCTTGAAAAACTAGGTGTCGATAAACTCGTAATCTTCTTTGAGCTCCTCTATGCGTTCCAAGAACGTCCACGGATCCTTCCCGTCGAACTGAAACCCCCATTTGCGCATTCGGTCTATTATTTTGGCAGGACGGTCCTCGGGGCTGGGTGGGGCGGTCGGTTCGATGAACGGATTAAAGGTCATGTTTGCCATGAATGCCTCGGAGGCTCGCCTCTCTTGTGGCGGCGGCGGTGGAGCCCGAGCCCGAAAATTCTCTGGATTGGAATCTACGAATGCGCTTAAGCGGCCTCGTAGTTCGTCCAGAGTACCCTCGGTGTCTAGACATTGCATCTCCATTTCGGCAATAATCGCGGTTTTACTCAGCGCATAAATCCTCGCCTTCGGAATAACTCGCATCTCTCCCTTCCGGAGACGTTCCAGTTCGGCCGCCATGAAACAACCTGACTCCTATGCGCGGACTAGCTCGTCGGCTCGTGCTACGG